TAAAGTTAAATATACAACAGAACGGACAGCTCAGTTCTGTGCCATCCACACAATTGTTCTTATGTCTGAGCCCATTGTTGGCAGCCAATGTATCTCTCCATCTTTTCAAGGGTCTTTCTCTTTTTCACTGCTCTTTGACTTTGCCAAGTATTATATCCTTTTCCAGGGGCTGGTCTCTCCTGATAACATGTCCAGAGTACATGGGTCAGAGTCACACCATCCTTGCCTCTAAAGAACATTCCGACTGTACTTCTTCCAAGACATAATTTTTTTGTTTTAATAGAGTTTAGAAATCCAGATCAAAGAACAGGAACACCATATGTACATCTCTTGTACACAAAGCTATTGGGCTGCCAGATATATAATGGTATAGTACACATATAACCTATAATATGAATTGTGGAAAAATGAAAATAAAAGATGATGGATATTTTCCACAAAGTTTTGGAAGACCCCTTACCTTGATAGTCATAATAAATTACTATGATGCTAACTTATTTTGTATTATACTTGTGTTAGTCACAGTAGACTAGAAAAACAAATCCAGGGAGACTCATATGTATATAAGAAAGAACTTTATATATTATATCAATTATATATTAAGAAAAAATCCCAGCCTAGCCCAGATCAAGTTCATAAGTTCAATATTAGCCCATATGTCCAAGGCCAATCTATAACATCCTCTTCAGACTCAACACAACACATGGAATGACACCAAATGCAGGCAGGAAGATCACAGGCCAGTGGCTGGAAAGTCTTCTGGATCCAGTGGCGGTGGAAGCATCTTAGCACCAGCATTGGTCTCCACATTGGTTCCTTTAGCTCCAAGGCTCTGGCTGCCATCAGCATAGTTCCATGGGTCTTATCAACAGGAAGATGAAGCAGAGAGAGTGTGTGTCCCACCTCCAGGGAGGAAGACAGGAATTCCCAGATTCCTCGGAGAAAGCCATGCCCACAGGGAGGCTTCATTGGCTATGACCTGATTGACAGGCTTCACAAGTTGACAGGAGATTATGTAACTGCCACATAACCTTTAACTAGTTTATGGTTAAATTACTATACTTTCTATCTAAATATTATCTATCTATCTAAGTACTATAGTACTATCTAATTACTATACTTTCTATCTAAAGTATTTAAAGAAAGTACTATACTTTCTATCTAAAAAGTTTATAACAGTGTATGCTTCAACTCATAGACAGCAATGTCCAATCTTCTGTATCACATGTTTGATTGCTGTAGCATTATCTCCCTGCTTAATTTTCTTTCAAAAACACTGCCATACATTCTATGATGCTCACCTTCCCGACACAACCGCTGAAGACAAAGCGGGTGAATAAGCAAATGTGGTGAAGAAAGCTGATGGTGCC